ATGAGAAGTGACGAGTTGGGCGTCCAAGGGTGACATGGAGGCGGTCATGCGAGGAAGAAATGAAGGCTTGTGGGCTGTCGTGAAACCAGGTTCAAAAGTCTGCAGAGAACAGAGTGGAGTGGACACGTGCTACTGAAGCCCTATGCTCCATTAGGAACCCAAACGACAAACAATAATAATAATAATAATAATGGTGGAGACATAGGTGCACACTGATGAGAAGTCCCATAACTAAAACAAACAGCTGTCCTGTCCTTCCAGGTTTCCAATATACTTCCAACTGATGTCAGACCATGACGAATACCAACTGGAAATAAACTGACCTCATATTTGGACTGCTATACCTCGAAAATGATTCAATCTTCCAAGAAGTTTTCACTTCAATTCTAATCAACATTTGATCAAGGGCAAGGAAAGCAGAAACATTCAAAAACATCCGCTTAATATTCACCTCATTAAGAGATATACAGTAAAAATCAAAGTAGATGATAACTACTTATCATGGAGGATGGTTGTAGGACTATTCTCATGAACAGTTCCTGCAATTATACATTGAAACAACTCATTATAAGTATGCTTATAATGAATATCTACACATAATGATAGACTCTTTTAGCTTCACTAATATTTAGAGTACAACAAATGCCCGTCATCATACAAGTCATTGGAATCACTTACTCATTTATTGCAAATATATGAATAGCACAATAGCATAAGATGCTACAAAATATATACACTAAAGAGAAACAAATGCCTCCTTGTGAATCGACTTCATCTTGAGACGATGAAAAATCTAAATGCAGACAAATTTCGATGTTTTTAAACATAAACATCAAGACTAACAGTTTTATCGTCAAATTACCTTCATACGATGTTCAAAATACCGATAAAATACGGTAGTCGTTTATTCCATCAACATATAACCAGTCTGGCTGGAATAATATGAGCTAGAAATGAGGATATCTTGATCCCTAAAAACTACTATAATCCAAACATCAATATTCGAAACAGATATTATCAATACAGTAACTGGAGTTACAGCGTAATGGCTCAAGTTGTCACACCTCACATCAGCTTGTAGGGAGTTGACCGATGGAGGGAGTATGGCGATGACTGACACTTCTCGACTACCCACACTATGGAAAGTTACTCCTTCTTGAGATACCCGAAAACTATAGTGGAGTGATATGGATGCTTACACTGACATCCGATCCAACCACAAAGACCCATGGATAGCTAATCAAGACGGATTACAAACACGCACATACACTCTATCATCTGAGGGCTTTGCACTGATTAGCGACAAATCTGAGCTTCGAAATCTCTAACACTCGATGACGAAAATCAATGTGGTGAAAGATGCTGCACTATTTCGAGGGTCGTTCTTCCTCAACCCCTAGTTCAAATGAAGACAACATCGTCTGGGAATATTGACTGCTCTTAAGTAGCCCTTACGACTAACACACTTTAGTATAGCCAGAGGTATCAGTTCACCCGAGAACCTCATTATTTAATAATGGTTAACTATGAAATAATGAGGTGATATCAGTTATTTCCAGCTTACTCCTTCCTCAAACGACCTTTCACAAGTCGTAACACCTCAAGCAACAAGTATGTCAATCAGTGTAAACCAGATTTATCATTAAGATAGTCATCCCAAATCACTAAGCTAAGTTAGTAGTTGGGGTCGACACTATAATCCTAAATAATGCTCTAACCAAAACTGCTCTATCCACAACAGCGTTACAAATTGACTAAATTTTTCCGACCATATTCAGTAAAATGATGGTGAATAAAAAGCGCTACTACTGTGAGCAACACATGTATCATCTCAAGGATGGACTAATATTCTCACTTATGTAAGGTAAATCACACAGAGAATACCAATTACTAGACTAGAGAGTGTCCTTTTACTGTCCTCGTTAGGTGAGAAAACAGAGTGGCAATATGAATAATGATTTAGCAATTCGTGTATAGAATCTTTTCACATCTCAAGAGGTCTAATTTCGACACTAGAACAAAATTCTAGAAGCGGTTAACATTCCTATGCTCTATATTAGAAACTCGTAATATAAACAGAAAGAAAAAAACCAACGCATATGCCTGAAATCAGCCTGGTTTACTCGACTCCCGGTAAGGTTTTAGATAACTATGAGACCTAGAATCTTGGACACCATATAAGTCAAACTAATTCCTCTATGCTTGTCGCAGTAAGACTTCTCTACCTCCGAATAGAATAGGATGATCAGTGAAGTTGACCATTCTGAAGCAACCACCCCGAATTCCCATACCCTAACTAGTTTCCCAGTCACTTTAATTAGTCTGACAGTACTTTCTAATTCTTACAGATCCATTTAACCAAACAGCAAACAGACGGCCGTTGACTGTCACACAGATCAAAAGCGCACTTTCCGCTCTTTAGCTCTATTCTATGTCTACACCAGCCAGTCAACGAGAGCCAGTCATTGGGTCTCCCGATACTCATAAGGCTGATTCTGAAAACTCACCACAACGGTTTTGTATACGTGCCTCAGAAACATAGCGTATACCCATGTTAGAGTTCCCAGAATTCCGGAAAGCTATGCTTGTTGTCTGATTCAGCATACAGTTCGGACGTCAAAATCAATTGTAAAATCTTAGGAGACTAGGAATGAGGTTTCGATGGCTTTGGTCGTTGAGAATAGCTACAAAGTGAGACGTCGAGTAAAGCGTAAGAGGCCTAATATCAGTATCAAGAGGTGGAGGTAAGGTAGGAGACACAGTTGAGGAGGATAGGTCATGTTTAATTCGGTCTTCTGTATCACTTGAAGCATGAGGCAGGTTAACATTTCCTGGCTACCCATAACATGGAAAAGTATTTCTCTTCAAGGGACCTGAGAGAGAAAAAGATTTTTATGACCGCAGAGCCAGTGAGCCATCTGCTTGAGGCCCGCATCAAAGTAGTAATCCCAACTATTTTCATGTATATATATATAGCATGATTACATCCTCACAGAAACTATGACCTGATGAAAAACACCTGATCCTATGTAGTTGCTACTCGAAATCCAGAGGAAACTAGGACTCAAATCCAGACCAATAATTTCAATGAAATTAACACTCTTCAAAAAGGATGACCATTTCGTTCTTACCGATTTCGAAATCAGTGAGCGTAATCAAAAGCGTCATGAAGCCGGTGAACTCGTTTTGATCACATCCAACAGAGCGAGAAAGGCTGTTTTGTCCATAGGATGAATATATTCACCTCCATAGAGTGTCGACATCTCAATTCTTCCACTAGGAGAAGATAATGTCTATTACTTCAATAGATGTAACAGTAACCCAATCACTACAAATATGATTTCTTCATTACTGCACCTCTACATTTCCCGTTGCTATATAAAAACTAATTATTCCGAACATTGTTTTTCTACAAACTGTATATCTGCAACAGTGTGTACGCATTATCACACCACGGGTTCTGTTATCATATACCTTCAAGGTCAACAACTTACTAAATTGATTTACAACCGAATAGAGGGGCCGTTACAACCTCATTCCTACTCGATACTCTCAGTTACTTGGGAATATATATAATGCAGTTTTAATATCACGTAAATCTACGTGGATCATTTATTTATTCATTTGTAGTTTCGAAGCTTGCATAGATGAGCGGAATGAAAAGCCAGCATTAGATTTGTGGTGAATATCTACATAGTCAGAGCCTTCAAACACTGACCACTTAATGTCGAACAGGCTGGCAGATAGACATATCAACGTAGAACCTTGCAATGAAGTGCATCAGTTGGAGTTGCTTTACTCCATAACATCATTCAAAGAACAATTGGGTAAAAAAGAGTGTTATTTAACTACAAAGAAAGTGTACGGGAGGGGGATAAAAAGGTTAATGAGAATATTCAAACTTTCGATGTCAAAGAATAAACACATCCGAACCGTTGTGAACGATCTCCACCCATAACACCGAAACAAATCAACTTTTGGTTCTTGTTATAGGCCATTTTTTATCTCCATAGTAGTGATAAAACGACTGTGGCACTTTATGCTTGTTGAACTGTGAAGCATTGGATCGAAAACTCGGTGAGAGGTCACATGTTAGATTTTACAGAATGACTGACGAAAATGCAGTAGAAAGACACATGATCTAAAAAAGCTTCATCTCTTTAAGAAAACCCAGTATGCAGCAGAAAATCCCGCAACACAGCATAACGATGAAAGGCAATCACGGGTAAAAATGGCACTAACGTATCTTGTGTGTTTGGTGAACGGACGTAGATAATAGGCGACAACCTAAGTCCTAGTGACTCCCCCTATATAGAGACTTTCACGAAATAAGGAGGTAAGGAAGTAAGCATGATGTAAGGCTTCGAGTAGCTTTTATTTCACTCGGATATTTATTGACTGTAAAGGAAATATCTATGTAGCGATGAGGATGCAAAATAGTATTACCAAGTATTAACATCCGAATCGGGAGATATGAAGTTGATTGTTTTCTGATTACATATCAAAATTTTATTAGTACAACTTGTAAATTGTCTGAACTGCTCAAAGATACCAAAATAATACAGAAGTCAGAGCATACAGCAACTACTTTCCATAATCAAGATTATGGACTCGTTGTCTAAGCAAACAAAGAAACAAACTGTACTTGCCTTAGCGGGCTAACCGTATTACATCTCAAACAGCACTCCCTGAAAACACAAGATTTATAACACTGGATAAATCAGGTTAGAGGGAATAATGCATTGAATATGAATCAATCCACCAAGCATAAGTCTCCTCATCACATATAGAATACTTGGCAAGAATAAAGACTGAATTTTGAACTATACCGAAGTCAAAAGTGAATATGGCACAAAATGTCAATAAGCAAATGTTTATGGTAAACTAGCATTAACATTTCAAATGATAATAAGAACCAATCAAGCAGAAGTTTCTGAAAAAATGCATTAACCCACAGATGGCGAATCCGTATGAATTCTCAAATACAACTAAAAACACCACTATTGGGCTTTCTTGCGCACTTCGTCCTCTGTAATCTCGTCCAAGTCATTTGCTTCGACCTCACGTTTAATACCAATTAGGCTTGCTTTTATGGCTTCTTTTGAAGCAGCATATATCATTCTCACTTTCACATCCAGTGATGATGGAACCCTGTAGAATATAAATCACGACTCATCAACGTACCACAGGATGAAAACCAGAGTAGGTAATTTTCCTTCGGATTCATAATCATAAACAGCATAACGTCCTTCGCCATCATTCATAGCTTTTATCAAGTCTTCTTTGAACTGAGCGAATGTTGCATCTGTCAGTCAAAAATATCAATTGGCACTAACCTCTTTTAGCCTGGTGGAGGACTCTTATCTCTTGCTTGTCACATATGTGGTAAAGAATGTAACGATGCTTTTTATTACGCTTCAAATCTTCAAACGCTTCAATACACGACCTGTGGCATTTCACTCCAGTACTCTACAATTAAGGGGGAATTTTTAAGAGTATTTGTAAAGTCTTTATAAAGTCAAAGCATAGAACTTTGACTAGGAGGTTAACAAAAAGATCACGACAAACCATTATGCAGAAGACGGAACGACCTTGAAGGGGAATTAATAGGGCACCTGTGAAACGAAAGGTCCAGTGAAACATTAAAACACAACATTCGGGACTAGCCGTTAAAATAAATTACGAGCTGCCAAAGTCTTGATTCGAGTCTCTTAGACTGAATCCTTTTCAGTTGCACTTGTACACCAAGTGCAGAGGTCTTTTATGCTTTTCTGTATCTATCTTTGAAAGTAGTGGTTACAAACTTGAAAATTCTCTTCTCTTTCTAAATTATGGGCTGAGCATTTGGAGAATGGGTAGAGCCTCTGACAAAAACATCGATTTTTATCCCCTCTCTGTTCTTGGCTGATTCAGTATGCGTGTACTAGAGTAAGATAGTCAAAGGTAGACGAGGACAAGATATGAAAGATATATCTAGAATCAAATATCATAATTACGAGCACGGTAAAACCATTTGGTTCTTTCGTGCTCGGCTTCAAGTCTTGTGAAGCTGTTCTAAGTCCGTGGTGGATTCAACCACTCGCATCCGTAGCTCGAGTTGACCCAACGGGTGCTTGGTTGTTGGTTACATTTGTAGATAGGTATATCATTTGTCCTTGGCCTTTGGTCTGAATGGACTCCTTAAATGTCGCGTCACCAGACGGTTTTTCAGTTGATGCAGATATACCATGATGAAGTCCAGGTTCTAAGTGAGTAAATCGTCTGATGGGGAGTGCAATTAAAGAAAGTCTGAAAATTAACGTTGAGGCCGTTTAATATGTTGTGTGCAGTGAGCTCTTGCTACTTATTCCACAATTGTTCCGTGTAGCACACACTCTATGGGAAGAGAAGTTAGATCTAATTCTCGGCTTAGCCCCATAGTGAGGCATATGGCTTGGGCTCCTGTGAACTGTTAGTCTTGGACAGATGACGTTATCCTGTTGGGGTGGTCAAATTGACGTGTAATCTCACAGGTTATCATTTGGCCGTCTCTTTTACAACGACAGTCCAAGGTGAACAGGCCGACTTGTCATTGGAGTTATGTGTATCATTTTCTTATTACCTTGAGAAATAACCTCTTTGATTTTCTCCTCACTTTCTCGAGATAGTTTCAGTCTCTTTCCACTGCAGGACGGAAATGGTGTCGGAGACGACTAGATATTGCCCGGCAGGATTCTTATAAACCGTGAGAGTACTCCAGGAGTGACGGCTACGAGTTGCCTTCTTCAAAAGTATTTGACGGGGTTCACTTTTACAACTTATGAAATTGTTCTTACGCCAAACTGATGGGTATGGGGACCACCCACTAATCCTCCGTACTTACAGGATGCTCGCGTGACCAAGAGTGAACGAAATGGAGTACCCAGGGGGGCGCAATATTCAATAAATCATGCTGAAGTTCTAATTTCCTCTGGTCAGCTGACTAGAGGATCGAATGCTGGCAACTAGCGTAACACGATGACGTGTCACATGGAAGGGATGCTCGACTATGGGCTTTCAACCTAACCAGTCTGATAAGACTATGCAGTACAGCATCAGTGTTGAACCAAGCCGAACCTTGATAATGGTGTATTATTTGCCTCTTGACTTCCGTCCAGTGCCTTCAGACGATGCCAGCTGAAATACAGACTCAAAGGCACCACAAATACCAAAACTCCTCCGATAGGCTCGCTGCAAGGACCAACATTTTGTCGTCCGAACCTATCCTAGGGTGCTGCTGAAAAGAATATCATTGTGAACTGGATGGCTGTTTGATGGCGATTTTTACTGCTCAAAGAATTTCAGTCCGGTAGTCGCTACGTCTGAACCATAAACGAAATCTTTTACACATTTAGCAAAAGGGAAATCAAAGAATTTTTACATACCAAAAACACTGACTAAAAAAGTTGGCACTCGAATTATTTAATTTGTAGCAACCGCGTAGCAGGAAAACAATATCATGATCGCAGGATGTACCCGATTTTAAGCGACTCTCCTCCTCACAAGCCATCAGACTGCCATCCAGTTCACAATGATATTCTTTTCAGCAGCACCCTAGGATAGGTTCGGACGACAAAATGTTGGTCCTTGCAGCGAGCCTATCGGAGGAGTTTTGGTATTTGTGGTGCCTTTGAGTCTGTATTTCAGCTGGCATCGTCTGAAGGCACTGGACGGAAGTCAAGAGGCAAATAATACACCATTATCAAGGTTCGGCTTGGTTCAACACTGATGCTGTACTGCATAGTCTTATCAGACTGGTTAGGTTGAAAGCCCATAGTCGAGCATCCCTTCCATGTGACACGTCATCGTGTTACGCTAGTTGCCAGCATTCGATCCTCTAGTCAGCTGACCAGAGGAAATTAGAACTTCAGCATGATTTATTGAATATTGCGCCCCCCTGGGTACTCCATTTCGTTCACTCTTGGTCACGCGAGCATCCTGTAAGTACGGAGGATTAGTGGGTGGTCCCCATACCCATCAGTTTGGCGTAAGAACAATTTCATAAGTTGTAAAAGTGAACCCCGTCAAATACTTTTGAAGAAGGCAACTCGTAGCCGTCACTCCTGGAGTACTCTCACGGTTTATAAGAATCCTGCCGGGCAATATCTAGTCGTCTCCGACACCATTTCCGTCCTGCAGTGGAAAGAGACTGAAACTATCTCGAGAAAGTGAGGAGAAAATCAAAGAGGTTATTTCTCAAGGTAATAAGAAAATGATACACATAACTCCAATGACAAGTCGGCCTGTTCACCTTGGACTGTCGTTGTAAAAGAGACGGCCAAATGATAACCTGTGAGATTACACGTCAATTTGACCACCCCAACAGGATAACGTCATCTGTCCAAGACTAACAGTTCACAGGAGCCCAAGCCATATGCCTCACTATGGGGCTAAGCCGAGAATTAGATCTAACTTCTCTTCCCATAGAGTGTGTGCTACACGGAACAATTGTGGAATAAGTAGCAAGAGCTCACTGCACACAACATATTAAACGGCCTCAACGTTAATTTTCAGACTTTCTTTAATTGCACTCCCCATCAGACGATTTACTCACTTAGAACCTGGACTTCATCATGGTATATCTGCATCAACTGAAAAACCGTCTGGTGACGCGACATTTAAGGAGTCCATTCAGACCAAAGGCCAAGGACAAATGATATACCTATCTACAAATGTAACCAACAACCAAGCACCCGTTGGGTCAACTCGAGCTACGGATGCGAGTGGTTGAATCCACCACGGACTTAGAACAGCTTCACAAGACTTGAAGCCGAGCACGAAAGAACCAAATGGTTTTACCGTGCTCGTAATTATGATATTTGATTCTAGATATATCTTTCATATCTTGTCCTCGTCTACCTTTGACTATCTTACTCTAGTACACGCATACTGAATCAGCCAAGAACAGAGAGGGGATAAAAATCGATGTTTTTGTCAGAGGCTCTACCCATTCTCCAAATGCTCAGCCCATAATTTAGAAAGAGAAGAGAATTTTCAAGTTTGTAACCACTACTTTCAAAGATAGATACAGAAAAGCATAAAAGACCTCTGCACTTGGTGTACAAGTGCAACTGAAAAGGATTCAGTCTAAGAGACTCGAATCAAGACTTTGGCAGCTCGTAATTTATTTTAACGGCTAGTCCCGAATGTTGTGTTTTAATGTTTCACTGGACCTTTCGTTTCACAGGTGCCCTATTAATTCCCCTTCAAGGTCGTTCCGTCTTCTGCATAATGGTTTGTCGTGATCTTTTTGTTAACCTCCTAGTCAAAGTTCTATGCTTTGACTTTATAAAGACTTTACAAATACTCTTAAAAATTCCCCCTTAATTGTAGAGTACTGGAGTGAAATGCCACAGGTCGTGTATTGAAGCGTTTGAAGATTTGAAGCGTAATAAAAAGCATCGTTACATTCTTTACCACATATGTGACAAGCAAGAGATAAGAGTCCTCCACCAGGCTAAAAGAGGTTAGTGCCAATTGATATTTTTGACTGACAGATGCAACATTCGCTCAGTTCAAAGAAGACTTGATAAAAGCTATGAATGATGGCGAAGGACGTTATGCTGTTTATGATTATGAATCCGAAGGAAAATTACCTACTCTGGTTTTCATCCTGTGGTACGTTGATGAGTCGTGATTTATATTCTACAGGGTTCCATCATCACTGGATGTGAAAGTGAGAATGATATATGCTGCTTCAAAAGAAGCCATAAAAGCAAGCCTAATTGGTATTAAACGTGAGGTCGAAGCAAATGACTTGGACGAGATTACAGAGGACGAAGTGCGCAAGAAAGCCCAATAGTGGTGTTTTTAGTTGTATTTGAGAATTCATACGGATTCGCCATCTGTGGGTTAATGCATTTTTTCAGAAACTTCTGCTTGATTGGTTCTTATTATCATTTGAAATGTTAATGCTAGTTTACCATAAACATTTGCTTATTGACATTTTGTGCCATATTCACTTTTGACTTCGGTATAGTTCAAAATTCAGTCTTTATTCTTGCCAAGTATTCTATATGTGATGAGGAGACTTATGCTTGGTGGATTGATTCATATTCAATGCATTATTCCCTCTAACCTGATTTATCCAGTGTTATAAATCTTGTGTTTTCAGGGAGTGCTGTTTGAGATGTAATACGGTTAGCCCGCTAAGGCAAGTACAGTTTGTTTCTTTGTTTGCTTAGACAACGAGTCCATAATCTTGATTATGGAAAGTAGTTGCTGTATGCTCTGACTTCTGTATTATTTTGGTATCTTTGAGCAGTTCAGACAATTTACAAGTTGTACTAATAAAATTTTGATATGTAATCAGAAAACAATCAACTTCATATCTCCCGATTCGGATGTTAATACTTGGTAATACTATTTTGCATCCTCATCGCTACATAGATATTTCCTTTACAGTCAATAAATATCCGAGTGAAATAAAAGCTACTCGAAGCCTTACATCATGCTTACTTCCTTACCTCCTTATTTCGTGAAAGTCTCTATATAGGGGGAGTCACTAGGACTTAGGTTGTCGCCTATTATCTACGTCCGTTCACCAAACACACAAGATACGTTAGTGCCATTTTTACCCGTGATTGCCTTTCATCGTTATGCTGTGTTGCGGGATTTTCTGCTGC